ATTGCTGAAGAAAGTAGTCTATCCCCTTCAAAGCATTTTGAAACGGAGCCTCGGATGCAGCGACCTCGCGAGCTTGAATTAACTTCGTTTGTGCTTGGAGGAGACTATCCAATTTATTCCTAATCTCCGTATTCTGTTTATCAAGAGATGTGCGATTACGCTTGGGCGTTGAAATCTGGAATGGCAAGAATGATACTCGTACACTTGATTTGATATGTATCGACTCATATCTTCTATATATGCATATAAAATTCAAATTTTGTATGTATGTATGTGGGTTTGAATGACGCTGTGCACTACACCTTTCCAATATATTGTATTGGTGTAGACTTGGTAGACTAAGATATATCAACCCAAAACTCGAAAAAATGGGGCTTTTGGAAAAGAGGACATAGCACCTCTATTTGTGAAACCTGCGAGTATAGTATAGTACTTACATAATCATAGGCCCCGTTGCTATTGTTGTTGTTATTGGAACTGCAGATGCTCTCGCTTTCGAAAGTGCAGGTGGGAGTTTCCTCCCTAAAGTCCGGTAAAGTACAGGTTCTGTAAGGTGGTATGAAATAAGTCATCAACTTTCTCCGTGGTACTTTTATATTAATTACCTTCTCTTCTGGGATACGTGTGGGAGAAATGACATATCAGCGCTAAACTCCCAGTCAATGGAGTCATTATATATCGGTTCAGGTATATTATCTCCACCTGCGCCTCCACTCTTCGATTTTTGCGCTCCCTTAGCTCTGTACCTGTAGCTTTCCCTCAAGCTAGTCCAGGCCAATTTGCATTCATTCACTGTAAAAAAACAGAGATTATCAAACAAATGCGTGTGAATGGATCACCTAACATACCACTTTTATCCATCGAGGCACTTATCTCATCCCAAGCTTGATCTACAGCATATTTGTTGCAATGCTTTTCGTTGCCATTTTCCACCTCCTTTATAAGCGGTCTCTTGTCTTCCGTAGTGTAATTTACCGCGCGCTTTTGCCGTTTTGAGGTGCTTGGTTTTTCGCTCAACTCCATGGCTAAAATAGT